GTGGAACACTGTTTTATCGCGAAAGAGAACGCGGCTTCGGCGGCAAGAATTTTTCTAAAGGTTACCAGCATTTCTCGAAGCAATCGTTGTTACGAACGCTGCCAAAAATCTTCTCCCATGGTGTTCGCGAGTATACTAATTGTAAGTGTTCTTTACCCAATTTTTCCTCTCGTTACGAGGTCTTTTTTGAAACAAGAATGAGAAAATGAAAATTCAACGTCGTGTATAAGCATTTCAAGAATCATCGTCTTGTGTGCCATGGAACTATACCGAGAATAATGATGATATAATAATTAAACAGAAAACAAAAAACAGAAAAAAAAACGAAAAAACAAATCAAGCCTTGATCGTGCTCGAGCGAACCATTGTTCAAGGCTCTCGAAACTCTGTGACCAATCGTGAATAACTGCCGACTGATACCAAGTCAGACGACTGATAATAAGATTTAAATAGAACCTCTACCCGTTACGTATCCAGTATCTATTTAAGGTTTAAACGAAAAAATCGTTCATCGTTCGAGGTACTTAATAAGCATTTTCACAATTTCGACGGGATGACTGGGTGGGATGGGGGTGGGGGGGTTAAGGAAATAATTCGACAGTGTGGTATCCGATAATCTCGCGGGATTAAAAGTGTGTCTTTAGAGGGTAGACGAACGAGGAATGCGTCGAGAACTAAGTGAGTAGAGTCTTTAATGGTAGAAAAGATGTAACCGATTTAATAATTAGTCCGTCGATGTACGATCGCAGCGCAGATAATAAGAGAAAGCTATTCGCTTCTCGTTTGATCTCGAATCGGTCGCGAACTGACCTTCCTTACGATCCAAAAAAGGAAAAAAAAACAAAAGAAATAAAGAAGATAAACCATTTATTCTTTTTTCTTAATCATTTGATACGATCCTAACGGATCCGAAATTTCACGCGAACGGTTCGTCGAACGCACAAATTGGCGACGGAACACACGACCATGTTCTACGGTGTAACGCGCGAACCGGCGGCGAAAATTCTCGTTTGATTTCCGAACGACGCGCCGCGTCGCGTAGAACAATATTTTATACGAGAGATTCATACGTTTTCTACGTAGCTACGAGCAAAAAAAGCGGAAGGCGGAGGAGAAAACATTTGTAATAACAGGTGGAAACTGTTTTTTCGGTGTAATTTTGTTCTGTGAACAGCGGTGCATCTGCGGATGCACGATTCGGAAGCGCACGACATAGATTTCTGTAATATACGTATTATTATTTTCTACTGTGATTGAAGAGGCGGACTGTCGTTTTCTCGGACGACTCACCTTCGGGTTCGAATCGAACGCGAAGGAGAAACGTTTTCTAGAGACCGGACGAGATATATCTTAGACGGTTCCCGGTGGTTCTAGGAACCGCCGTTCGCGAGGTAAAAATTTAAGTCATCGATGTTTCTCGTACAAAGTGTCTGAAGAAATTGTAAATTTTCTACTGAACACACTCTTACACACGCAAATACGCAGAATAACGACAGGTTTTAGGGTAGTGTCTAGACGGTAGCTCGAGTGGTACATGTAAAGGAAGAGAGAGAGGGAAGGAGGGGAAAAAAAGAGAGAAAAAAAAATGGAATAAGTGTTCACAGGATGCGAAACACGGGATCGCGTGGAACCTTTCTTTTTCTAACGTCGATCTCGATCCCGGTTTCGATCCCGAGGATCGTATTGTTGTCGTCATGGTCGTCCCCTGCGGAACGTATCGTTAGACGTAAGTCCCTAGGCGTACATTGAACTATGTCACGATTTAACGATGAAGATGATAAAGAAAATTACACGATGAGCCATTATGACACTTTAGATATTAACGTTTAAACGAATAAGATGAAAAACAATTGATTAAGCGAACGGAGAGAGATAGAATGTGCGTGCGAGATGTGTGAGAGAGAAAAGTGATATATAGTGTGAGCAGCGAGAGAGTGTCCACGCGTGTGTAGTGAATTGTTACACTGTGTCTGTGCGGTATTATCTTTTTTTCCTTTTTTCACGCGCATCTTGCCGTGACATTAAGAGACCAGCAATAAAATGTCGCGCTCCACGTACGCCCCGTAAACCATTGCTCAATAGAGAAGTCCATCGTTTTCATCTGATCACGAGGCAGAGCGCATTCTTACCTGGCAAGCCTGACTTAGCGCGAGTATCTACGGCAGAAGATTGAAGATGCTGATTGCTCGAGATCGTTCGTTCTTCGAAATTAACTAATTCATCATATTAACAACTGTTTCATTCCTATAATATCGCTAGACATTTTTAGTTCACTAACATCAATGAAGATGAAGCTTTGGTATTCCGTGGACAGAAATTTTCTCATTGAATATTGCCGAAACTAGACCGAGCAATCAAGCATCTCCGCGTCTTTCGTAGTTCCGACTGCAAACGTCTCGAGGCACATCGACAAATCATAGATACCGTGTCAGTGGAATACCTAAACGGCTTACGTTCACCCGGGACCCGTGAACTCGACATTATATTGCAACCTTTATACATATATGTATATGTATATAGTATTTATATGTATATGTATATGTATAAACAGTATACCGATATATAATATAATGTTTTCTACTTTGATTAGCGAGGCGAACCACCATACCTTCGTTGTGTGAGTTGACTAATTTATTCTATATAGTAACGACGCGGTGAGTGCACGTGGAAAAGCATCATGTTTACGC